CCTCCTCCTCCTCCTCCTCCTCCTCCTCCTCCTCCTCCTCCTCCTGCTGCTGCTGCTGCTGCTGCTGCTGCTGCTGCCTCCTCCTCCTGCTGCTGCTGCTGCTGCTGCTGCTGCTGCTCCTCCTCCTCCTCCTCCTCCTCCTCCTCCTCCACCTCCTCCTCAGGACCTGCTTCCCTCAGGACCCGCTTGCTTCACGGCGAGCCACTGTGGGCGACCTGGCAGGGGAGGCGGTGAGCGGGGGGGTGCCGAGGAACTCGCGAGCGCGCAAGTCCACGCGCACCGCACCGGAGCGCTCGCAAGAAACACGCAGAGATACAGCAAGCACGCGCAACCCCGACCTCCGACGTCCTGGCTTTTGTCGCAAAGTGGAGCCCCAGAGGTCTTGGCCCCTCTGCAAGGGCCGGCTTTTCTCGTTGAGCCGCTTCTCGACAGCTCCAGGGCCCGGCGAGGGCCCCTGGGGGCCGAACGAGGCGAGAAACGGTTTCTCGCTGCGGCGGAGGCGGCGGCGGAGGTGCGGCGGAGGTTTCTCAGAAACCTCCGCCGCGATTGTCCTCAAAACGCGAGGGTGGAGGGCGGCGCACAGTTGTGGGAGACGGCGGAGGCGGCGGTGGCAACGGCAGCAAAAGCCGCGGCAGCGATGCCGACTGCCGCAACCACGGCAACGACCGCAACAAACGTCGCAGCAGCCACGGCGGCACTCCTTTCCTCCTGTCCCTCCTCGCCTCTCCGTCTCCCTCTCGGCTATCCTCGCTCTCTGCTCCCTCATCCCTCCCTCATCCAACCTCCTGCTCCCCCTCCTCCTCCGCCTCCGCCTCCGCCTCCCCCTCCTCCTCCTGCTCCTCCTGCTCCTCCTCCTCCACCGTCCTCCTCCAACCTCAGGCTGCTGCTACTGCTTCTGCTGCTGCTGCCTTCTCTCTTCCACCACCTGCTCCCCTCCTGCTCCCCTCCTCCTCCTCCTCCTCCTCCTCCTCCTCCTCCTCCTCTTGCTCCTCCTCCTCCTCCTCCTCCTCCTCCTCCTCCCGCGACCTCCCACCTCCTCATCGCGGGCGCCTCCCGCATATCCAGCAGCACCCGGGCATCCAGCTGGGTAAGCGCTTGTTTGTGTATCGCCAGGAAGCAGGACGATAGGAAGTTTGGAGGCGGACACTCGCGAGGGAGGAGGGGGGATTATGGAAAAGTGGCGGCAGGAGGAAGGGGGTGAAGAAGAGGAGGAGGAGGAGGAGGAGGAGGAGGAGGAGGAGGAGGAGGAGGAGGAGGCGGGAGAGGGAGAGGAGCATCAGGAGAAGGCGAGAGCGGAGGAGGATTAGAGGGATGCAAGATACGGATCCGCCGACCCCAGCTGACCTGGGGTGAGGAGGCGTGTGAGATGATTGGCTGTCCCCATCCCCTTTCCCCCCCCCTGGGGCCAACCATCGCACTAGTGGGTGGGTGTGGGGTGGTACGAGCTCCTGGGGGATCTCCGGAGCCTCCCAGGAGCCCCGCGACGGCCCAATGAGCGCCGAGACAATCCAAGAGGACGTCCAGACGGCCCAGGGCAACCCCGCGACGGTCCAAAATGGCTTCAAGACGGCCTACGACGCCCACAAGACGGCCCAAGTGTGCTCCCAAAAGGCCGCCGAGAGAGGCACACATCGTCACATCCATGTGCAGTTTCGGCACACACGCTTTTTCGTCTTGACAGCGTCCACTACGGCCCAAGGAGCCAGCCCAATAAAGACCCAAGAGATCCCAAGAGGGCCCCAAGACAACCCTAGAGGCCCCTCAGACGGCCAAGGATGGCCCCAAGAGTGGCCCAAGAGGGGCAATACAAACTGATATCTCGAATCTTTCCCGCCGTGATGAGCCCAAGAGCCCCCCAGTGACCTCGAGGCGCCCAAAGAAGCCCCCAAGAGGCTTCCAAGAGGCCCCCAAGAGGCTCACAAAAGCAAATCCGGTGCCTCCAAGAGCCCTCCAAGAGGCCCCTAAGAGGCATTCCAGGAGACCCTCATATGCATCCCCGAGGCTCCTGACCCACAGGCCATGCACGGTGGCACGACTCTTGACGAATTCGATGTCATGGGAGTAGGCGGAATGGCGTAAGCCTCCTGCATAAAAAGAGAGTGGGGAAACGGGAGCAAGGATAAAGAGGCTGCCGAGGAGCCAGGATTCGGAAGAAAGACATAAACATGAGGAGGAATCGGAGGCTGAATATGAGACTGCAGAGAAAAGGAAGTAACATCAACAATGGCGGAAGGGCTTGCTAGACGTGCGGGGCGACTGGGAATCGGCGGGCAAATCGGCGACAGCAGAAGGAAACGCAAGAGACGCAGCGCAGGAACAACGGCGTGGATCCTCAACGCGATTGTGCAGAGCTGCCGGCGGGAAAGCAGAGGCCTGCGTGCACGACACCCCCAGCAAGAGGCCATGAGCTGGCACAAAGCCTACCCTCTCGCTTGAGCTGTGCTGCTTCACTGAGATCGACAAGGTGGCACGGTCGCGATCCAAGCAGCCGTGCCTGGCCTCTCCAGGGATGCACGTGGGCAGCTCGCGCTCGACAGCTTGGCCAGTGTCAAATTTTGGCTTCGAGGCAACACATGACTGCACATCAGGATCTAGGGCCCGTCCTCGCCATATCTCGTCGCCTCGGTGAGCAAGACGTTCGATAATGTTCAAAAAATACCGTCACGGGGAAACATCAACGGTGGGTGGATAACGTGGAACTGACAACAAACACGGCAATTCCCTATCACGAAACGCACTTGTGATAACGTGATCTAACGAGATATTCCTTTCTTCTTCCCCCAAAAACCCTCTTCCCCTTCGGGGAGGGGTTTACCCCTCCTTCCACCCCCTCCCCTGGACCTCGGCGGGGGGGGCGCGAGGGGTTAGAGCACCCAAGATGGCTCCAAAAGGGCCTCAAAGAACCCAAAATGGCCTCCAAGATGGCCTAAGACAACCGAAGTTGTTTCAAGGCAGCTTCCGACATGCCTCCAAGAGGCCCCAAGAGGGCCACAAGACGGTTCCACGTGCCCTCGGAGACCCCTCAGGACCTTCCCGACAAGCCACAATCCGTCAACAACCTGATGAACATCGACGATGTTTGCCTTCTCGCCTTTTCGTTTCCGATGCGCTTCTGAGACCTCAAGATGGCGGAACAGAGCCCCAAGAGGGGCTCAAGAGGCCCCCGAGACGGCCCCCAAACCGCCCAAGAGTGCCCCAGGAGCGCCCCAAGAGGGGCCCCAGAAACGATTTTGATGGCTCTGGGGGGGGGAGTTAGACAAGCCCCCCCCCCTCTTTTGATCGATGGCTTCCACGACGGCCCCAGGATGCCCTCCGAAGCTCCCAGGAAAGCCCCAAGAGAGGTCCAGGAGGGCTCCAAAAGGGCCCCGACATCCCCCCTCATATCCTTGTCCACCGTGATTCACTATATGTCTCTCTTCTTTCCATTTCACGCCAGCTCTCATGGGCAGGTCTTCTGAATGGTCTGCTGGGGACTTGTTGTTTGCGAGCGCAAACGGAAGGGCCGCGCGCCGTCCAAAGCTACAGCTAACAAGCAAGAGCCTGAATTGCACACGAGAAGGGAAACGGAGACAACAAGACAACAGCGGGAGGTGAGACTAGCCGGGGCGGGCCGCGCGGCGCTCACGGAGGGGGTGCCGCCGGCAGCTAGCAACCGCCGGAGGTGCACGCCAAAGTGGCGGGTAATTAGCTGGCAGTAGGGTGTCCCGTGAGTGCGGCGTGCGGCATCCTCGCGGGAGATAGCGGAAGCCGCACGCGCCTGCGCCTGTACGAGGGGCAGCACGCGGGGGGCTGAGCGCGGCAAAATCTGCTGGGGATCCTTTTTTTTGATCGCGACCGCGGCGAGGCAGAGTCGGGCGGCGTCCAGGATATTGCACACAGGCAACGAACCTGCTGGGGATACTTATTAGTCAGCGGCCGAGCGCGCCAGCGGCGAGTCCAGTCAGAGCGGGGCGCGCAAAGACGAATTCACCTAAAGCGGTGGGCCGGAGCCCGACCCAGCACCTCAGCGGCGGGCAGGCGAGTGGAAAAGGCTAGCGGTAAACTGGATACTTAACAGTACTGCTAGGTCTGCTGGGGATACGCGAAGCGTTAAGAATTCAACACAAGGGGATTCACCGACGGAGTTTCGTCGTTGTGGCAAAAGTGCAGAGAACGTTGCCCCAGAAGAGATAACTCGTGGAACTGAACAGTGGTGATCTGATTACTCGGGGTAACCTCCGAACGGTAGGTTTACTGCCGTCGCTCTGGATGCGTTCGGAGGCGCTGTCCGGTACGAGCCCCTTGTGTGGTTTGCTGTGCCTGCTCATTCTCGCAAGAGATTGGCGCCGCAACTCACCAAGAGAGAGAGAGAGAGAAAGCACAGAGAGGGACTGTTTCAAACAAACAACCACCACACCACAACCACTCCTCTACATCAGCGCCTACCTGTACATCAGCGTCGGGGGCTACATGATTGAGGGCATTGGATATACTACGGTTGGTCGAGTACCACGATGACCAGCATGATTGGGCATGGCATACGCAGGAGTACCACCTCGACCAGCACGACTGGGACGAGGGACACACGTCCGAGCACTACAGAGCCAAGCAGTACTGCAGGCTCGAGTACACCAGAGCCACCAGAAGAGAAGGGGCAGCCTGCCCCTCGGCGTGGGATACACAGCGCGAGGCGCCGAAGGGTGTATCCCCGTCGCCCTCGCGTGGCATGCGAGGGGCCGAGGCCAGCTGGCCTTAGTCGGCACGAGGAGGAGAGAGCAGCCGCCAGTGTGGGCCTGCTGGAGCCCACGAGTGGCTCGGCGAGCCTCCACAGCGCGCGGCGCCGAAGGGTGGAGGTCGCCACTGCGGGGGGCAGCCAGCCCCTCGAAGCCGCCCCCACGGCGGCTGGGCTCAGCGCGCCGCGCCGAAGGGAGCCCAGCCGCCACCGTGCGGCCGCCGGCCCACGAAGAGGCCGCCGGCCTGGCCGCGCGCCGTGCCGCGCCGGCTGACGCCCGCGGGCGTGGGCGGGCGCAGCGCCCGCCCATGGGCCCTGACGGGCCCCCTTTTTTCAGAAACCCGGCCCCCTCCTCCTCTCCTGAGGTTTATATCTGGTCCCTGTTCCTCCCTTTCTCCTCGGGGTCGGGTTCCCGGGGCCGCTGTTCGAGTGCCCGCACGGCCCTAGTGGGCCGCTGCGGCGCGCTCCGCGCCCGCGGGGCGCGCGACAAGACGCTGTGTAGCGAGAAACGTCAGAAACGTCAGAGAGGGACTGCGAGAGACGGAGAGAGGAGGAGAGAAACGAGAGACAGAGAGAGAGAGAGAACGGACATGTAGACGGCGGTTCCGTCGCAGCCGGCAACTGCAGTTGCCAGGGCCGCAAAAGCACGCTTAGCGGTGGTGCCCACCTTGGCGTACGGGGGACGTTGAAACAACCACCCCCCGGCGCAAAGCGACTGAGGTAACAGGCGGGGCGCGGAGCAGGCGATGCGCCGCATCTCTCGGCACCCCGCGGTGGAAGGGCCCAGGTCGGCAGAGCCTCGGTTGGCGGCCAGGGGACACGGGCTCGGCTGCTGAGCGGCCTGCGGAAACGGGGCGTCCCCCGTCCCCGCAGCCAGGCACCGATGACGCGTGGCCGCGCGTCGAGTGGGGCTGGCGTGAGCGTGGAGCTGCTAGGCTAGGAAATTTCGGGGGTCCTGCGCGGGCTTGCGCGGCCCTGAGCAGGTCGTGCACGGAGGGTGCCGCTCCATCAGGCGACAGGTCGGCGGAGAGACACGCGGATGCATCGCGGGCGCGGTGGAGGCGCTGCACGAGCAGGCCTTGTTGGGAATTGAGGGTGCGGACCTGGTGGGTGAGGTTGGGACATTGGTGGCAAAGGCGGTCGTAGGACGCTTGTAGCTCCGCGGCCCAGCCGTGGGCCGAGTTGGGAGCGTGGCGCGGTCGTCTAGTGCCAGTAGTATTTGCGAAGTGGGTGGCGGTGTGGCTAGAGAGAGAGAGAGAGAACAAACAAGAGAGAGAGAGAGAGATGGAGAGAACGAGAGAGAAAGGCAGGGAGGGTGAAAGAGAGAGAGAGAGAGAGCGAGAGAGAGAGAGAGAGACAGAGAGACAGTAGAGGCCTCCTGGATGGGGTCCGAGTAGATGCGGTCGAAGGATCGCGCCGCATCGCCTATGCATCGCCGATGCATCGGCGACGTCGGCGTGGGGAACCGCGGGCTCCACACCGAGCCGCATGGCCGATGCATCGGCGATGCGCCGCGATCCTCCGACCCCATCTACTCCGACCCCAGCTGGGAGGCCTAGAGACATATAGAGAGAGCGGTGGACGGAGAAAGGGCGGGAGGAGACTGGGGATGCCCCGCCCAGGAACGCAACAGCCACGTCAGGCCTGCCTCACGCAAGGGGGTGCCCAGCTCCCTGCGCGAACGCGCCCGCTGGGAAGCCTCCCCCGCCCGCTGCCCCCCCGCGCGCACGCCGCCTGCCGGGCGCGCCCCCGCCTTCATGGGGGCGGGGCGCGAATCGGAGACGAGGCGGGGGGGGGGGGGACGGCGACGACAGCGTCGCAAAGGCACGCTGCGCCGACGTCGTGGCAGTGGAGCAGCCACGCCACACCGCACACCCCGGGGCTGCAGCGCCCGACGCCCCCTGCAAGCTCCCCAACCACCACCCACTGGTCAGCCGCAGGCATCGCCCGATCTCTCTTGCGCGCTCCGCCCCCCGGCCCCTGCGCGCGGGCGCGCGGCCGCCGGGCGCCGCTCCCCGACCCCGCCCCGCGCGCGCCCGCCCTGCTGCCCGCCGGGCCGCCCCGCCCGGAGCCCGCCCCGCGTGCCGCGCCGCCTGCCGCTGGGCGCTGGGCCCGCCGGAGGCCTCCGCGGCGCCGCGCTCCGGGCGCGGCCCCGCGAGTCGAGCAGCGACGCGGCCGGGGCCGCGGCCCAGCGAGGGCGGCCCCCCCGGCGAGTCGAGCGGCGACGCGGCCAGGGCCGCCGCCGAGGGGGGGCGCGCGCCGCGCAGCGCGGCCAGTGCGCGCGGCCGGTGCGCCGAGGGTGCGCGCTCCTCGCGCGTCCTCGGCGCTCGCTTGTGGGAGACGTCCGTTGGGCGGTGCTCTTCTCGGGCTCCCCGCCGCCTCCAGCGGGAGCGCGCGCCGAGCCGGAGCGCCGCGGCGCCGCAGGAGAGCACGGCATCGACGGTGTGCGGCTCCGTGCGCGTGTGCGGGATGCTCTGGCGAGCAGGGGAACAGCAGAGCCCCCCGCCGCGCGCGCGCGCGCCTGCTGGGCACGCCCTGCCTGGCCCCCGCCCTCCCGTCGTCGTCGTCGTCGTCGTCGTCGTCGTCGTCGTCGTCGTCGTCGTCGTCGTCGTCGTCGTCGTCGTCGTCGTCGTCGTCGCCACGCCCGCGCGAGAGGGCCTGCATGGCGCGTCCTGCCTGGCCCCCGCCCGCTGGTCCAGGGACGTGGACAGCACCGCGGCCGCGTCCGTCTTCGTGGCCGCCATCTGGCCGCTGCCGGCGGGCTGCTGGGCCTGGAGTCTGACCGCCGGCCCCAGCCCGCCCCCTTCATAGGGATAGGGGAGAGGAGGAGGAGGAGGAGGAGGGAGGAGGAGGAGGAGGAGGAGGAGGAGGAGGAGGAAGAGGAGGAGGAGGAGAGGAGGAGGAGGAGGGAGGGGAGAGGAGGAAGAGAAGGAGGAGGGGGAGGAGGAGGAGGAGGAGGAGGAGGAGGAGACGACGAGCGTAGACGAGGAGGAGGAGGTGGCGGAGGAGGAGGAGGAGGAGGAGGAGGAGGAGGATCCCGCGTCTGAAGGAGGCACACGCGTGTTCTCCCAGATCACGGCTAGCCGCGGAGGCCTGCGCGGGGGCGCGGGCGGGGCATCCCAGAGGGGGCCGAGTCGGCGCCGTCGGCACCGACGAGGTTTATGTGGGACGTGTCGAGCAAACTTGAACTGGCCGTGGAGAGGGCGAGCCGCAAGTGGTCGGCCTGGTGAGCGCCGTGTTGCTGAACTCCCGGTAGAGGCTTGCTCGGGGAAACGGTTCTTCACTTCAGCGGGGCGAAAGGGACGACCAGACGGGGCCAGGACTGGCCAGCATCCACATACCATCATGAGATTATCCCCCAGAACTTGGGGAAACTAAAAGTCACCGATGCCGCTACTCCCCGAACCTCTCCCGGGGTGCGTTCTGACAGGGATTTCGAAGCGAATCGAGCGGTGGCGACGAAGGCCTCCCAGGTGGCCCAAACACAGGTCAAACGGGCGAGGGGTAGCGGTATGGGTACCTTGTCCTCCTCAGGGTACAGTGCTGGTCGCCCCCTGCCAATGGTAGACGAAGCTCCAGCATCGCGCAGATCAAGATCCCGTGCTGTGGTTGAGCGCCTTGTTGCGGTGCACCGCGTTGAGGCAGCGCACCGTGCCGTAGCAGAGCGTCAGCGGGCGGAAGCCCGCGCGGCACCAACGGGGGCGCCGAATCGACGTCGCCGGCACCGTAAACGTTTGAGTTGTCGAACGAACTTGAACAGGCCAAGGTGGCAGTGGTGGTGATCACTGCGTAAGGGGACCAAGTCCTGAGCAGAACAACGCGCACCACGACAGCGACGACGCCGACAACGACGACGAAGAAGACGAGGCACGCAGACGATCCGCATCGAAGCAAAGATTAGGGGAAGGGCCCTCCCTGCAGGTTGATTTAAGCAGCGCATCGTTGAGCGGCGCTGCAGCCATCTGCAGCCTCACTTGAACACAGCCCCCCCACAGAGCATCAACCAACCAGCCAGGCATGAACGGGCCAAGGAGGAGGAGGAGGAAGAAGAAGGAGGAGGAGACAGAGGAGGAAGGAGGGCAGGATAAATAATAACAGCTAAAAGAACAGGAGGAGAAGGAGGAGGAGGAGGAGGAGGAGCAGCATGCAGAGGACCAGTGTAAGCCCAAGAGTCGTCAGGGATGTTGGAATAAACCCTGCCTCCAAGCTCCCTCTTCATAAGCCCTATTTCCACTGAGAGAACTGCCTCGTTGGAAGATTCCAGCTTCAAGACCCTGAAACCTGCCAAACCATTACTATCGGGACTCCAACGCCGCGGACTGTTTCGTCTTGGCGATCCTGAATCGTGCCAGAACGCCATTGTTGGGACTTCAGCAACGCGAGCCAACGGAACGGTTGCACCCTCATAATCCTGAATCATTATAAGCACCATTTCTGGATACATTGACCGTGGGAATCCGTGAAATTCTTGCAATGCTAAAAAAAAAGGAATGCACGCGGCGCTAAGGCAAGAACCACATTATTTTTAACAAAAAGGAGCCGCCCTCAGTCAGTGAAGCTATTGCGACTTTGTTAAACGAATGTGTTCGGCGCTGCAGCGGGAACCACATTGTGAAAACGACCCGCCCCCAACCCGTGAAAGTCGTGCACATTTCCAGAACGACTACGCGCCGCGCTAAGGCGACAGCCACGTTTTGAAAACGACTCGCCCCCCATCTACGAAACAGTTGCCAAGTTTTGAGCTTCAGGGTCATAAGTGGCGAGAAAATCTCCAGCGAACACGCCCGACCCGCACTTTCGACCAGCCTCGGGGTGAGACGCGGAGACAACATCGATAAGGAAAAGGAAAGGAATGGAGGAGGAGGAGGAGGAGGAGGAGGAGGAGGAGGAGGAGGAGGAGGAGGAGGAGGAGGGACGAAAAGCAACAGTAGGAGGGCAAGAAACTCTCCCCGTCCCTCCCCCTCCCTCCCCCCCGCCCCTCCGCTCTCTGGAGAGAGAGAGAGAGAGAGAGAGAGAAACAAAAAGAGAGAGAGAGAGAGAAGACACAAAAAGAAAAGACAGGAAGCCATAAAGAAAGAGAGAGAGAGAGAGAAAAAAAAAAAGAGAAAGAGAGAGAGAGAGAGACAGACAGACAGACAGACAGACAGACAGACAGACAGACAGACAGACAGACAGACAGACAGACAGACAGACAGACAGACAGACAGTCAGACAGAGAGCAAGGGGAAACAACTAGAGAGAAAGAGAGAGAGAGAGAGAATATTCAAATAAAAGAGAGAGGGAGAGAGAGAGTGAGACAGAGAGAGAGAGAGAAAGAGAGAGAGAGAGAGAAAAAACAAAAAAAAGGACACAACAACAAATCGCCAGGCGAAGGACCCAACCATATGCAGCTGTGAATACCGCAGTCGTGAGCATCATCTTCAGTGGAACTCTTCATGGGGACACGAAACGTGTGCGGTGTGCGCAGAAGACGGAGGGCGGCGGCACGCGGGCGCTGCCACTGGGGCCATCGGTGGAGCTTCCTATAGGGCCTTCGGCGGGGCTTCCTCTGTCCGCGATCTGTTCGATGGGGGGCACGAGGAAAACTAGAACGTCCAAGATGGTTCTTCCCTTCCCTTCTTTTTCTCCCTGTTTTCCCGCGCGCTCCACAGTCCAAGGCTGCGGGTGCAGCGCGGCGCGGAGCTCCTGCGACGCGCGCCGGTCGCCCCCATGGGGTCCCAGCGACGCGCGCGGGTCGTCCGCTGCGCGGAGCAAAGAGAGCTAGCTGGCTGGCAGGTAGCGGGCAAGGCTCCGACCGCTGGCAGAGCGACGACGGACGAGCGAGGCGCTGGGTAGAGCGCAGCACGGAGTTCCCGCGACGCGCGCTGGTCGCTCCGAAAGGATTCCAGGGACGCGCGCGGGTCGCCCGCGGCGCGAGGCCAAACCGGCTGGACAATCGAGAGAAGGCGCTGCTCGGGCGGGCCAGCTCCCCAGGCCAGGCCTCACGGATAAACCCGGTGAAGCCTAGCTCCCTGGCGAGGGCCGTCATCTCCCTCCTGCACCGCTTCGTGAGCGCCGCAAGCTGCTCCGGATGCTTCTGCAAGCCGTCCGGCGACCTGGGACCTTCGGCCAACTCCCGACGGGGCCACGAGCCGTGTGGAGGGGTGTGCCAGAATGAGCATGCGGCGGACGGGGTGGGCGCATGTGGACGCTGCCACAAGCGCCTGCGCCACGACCCGCGTGAAAATGGGCATGCGGCGGGCGGGGTGGGCGCATGTGGACGCTGTCACTGGGGCACTCGGTGGAGCTCCCTCTGGGGCCACGGGGAGGGCGCATGTGGACTCTGCCACTGGGGCCTTCGGTGGAGCTCCCTCTGGGGCCACGAACCGTGTGGAGGGGTGTGCCGACATGGGCATGCGATGGGCGGGGAGGGCGCATGTGGACGCTGTTACTGGGGCCTTCGGTGGAGCTCCCTATGGGGCCACGAGCCGTGTCACGGTTGTGCCGAAATTTGCATGCGGTGGGCCGGGAGGGCGCATGTGGACTCTGCCACTGGGGCCTTTGGTGGAGCTCCCTATGGGGCCACGAACCGTGTGGAGTGGTGTGCCGAAATTTGCATGCGGAGGCCGGGAGGGCGCATGTGGACGCTGTCTCTGGGGCCTTCGGTGGAGCTCCCTATGGGGCCACGAGCCGTGTCATGGGTGTGCTGTGCCGAAATTTACATGCGGCGGGAGGGCGCATGTGGACTCTGCCACTGGGGCCTTCGGTGGGGCTCCCTCTGGGGCCACGGACCATGTGAGCGGTGCGCCGAAATTGGTATGCGGAGGGCGGGGAGAGCGCATGTGGACGCTGTCACTGGGGCCTTCGGTGGAGCTCCCTAGGGGGCCACGAACCGTGTGAGGGGTGTGTCGAAATCGGCACGCGAAAGAGCAGAGACAAGGGTGAGAGGAGGGACGGGGCGAGGATGAAGGAGGAAGGAGGAGGACGCGGGGCGCTGTCTCTTCAAAACGAGGACCCAACACCTCAGGATGGTTGGGAAAAACAGAAGGGGAGACGTTTATTCTGTCTGCTGTGTCCTCCCGCCGAGTCATGCCGAGTCTGCCTGACTTCCTTTGTGCCCTCTCCACTGGCCAATCCTCCTCCTCTGGGGCAGGAAGACGGGAGGAAGGCGGAAAGGCGGAGGGGAGGAAGGAGGAAGGGAGGATTGAGAGGGAGGAGGGGGAAAGTCCTGCCGATGCTGCCCACAAGGGCGGGGGGGAAGCAGGGCTTGCCGCGAGCGCCCCCGAGGGCCCCAACCCCTTCAACCGGAGAAGGAACCATTGGATTAGGAATCCAGGGTCTGGAAGCCAGCAGAATCCCAATTGAGGCCCGGCCACGGGTATCCCTGAGATCCGACGTTGCGACAAAGAATGCAACGTCACAACAAATCACGACCGGAGCTCTGGACCCCATCACTCTGCGTCATTTTTGCGCCGGACCGCTCTGTGAGGGCCCTGGGGCCCGAAACTGAGCGAAACCGCGCGCCGTGGAAAAGTCACAGCGCCAGGATCTCGGGGGAGCACCGCCGACACCCCCATCAGAGAAGGAACCCTCCAGGGCCTGGCGCCTCCTGGGCAGATCATTCTGCGCCCCTTCGCCAGAGCACTCAGAGCCTCCTCCTCGTCCTCCCCTCCTCCTCCTCCTCCTCCTCCTCCTCCCTCCTATCCTCCTCTTCTCCTCGCTCTCCCCTCCCCGTCCCCCTCCTCCTCTCCTCCTCCTCCTCCTCCTCCTCCTCCTCCTCTTCCTCCTCCTCCTCCTCCTCCTCCTCCTCCTCCTCCTCCTCCTCTGCCGCCATCCGCCGTGACCTTCCGCTGGCGGGCCCGCCGCCTGTTCCCAGCCATCTGGCTGCTCCAGCTTGTTTGATGCGCGGGACCCGGAGGTCTGAACCACTTCCCCAGGGCCTTGTTTCCGGCCTGGATCGTTTTGTGACGCTCCCGAGGCCCGGCGAGGGCCCCCAGAGGCCGAGAACGGCCCAGAACCGCCCGCTCCAGTTTCTTTTGGAGCGTCGGATCTCTGGGATTTTACCTCTGCCGGCACCCGCGGAACCGCGAGGCGCGCCAGGAGGAGGAGGAGGAGGAGGAGGAGGAGGAGGAGGAGGAGGAGGAGGAGGAGGAGCAGGAGGAAGGAGCGAGGAGGAGGAGGACGGCGGGGAGGAGGAGGAGGAGGAGGAGGAGGAGGAGGAGGAGGAGGAGGAGGAGGAGAGGAGGATGGAGGAGGAGGAGGAGGAGGAGGAGGGGGCAGGAGAGGAGGAGGAGGAGGAGGGGGAGGAGGAGGAGGAGTAGGAGGAGGAGGAGGAGGAGGAGGAGGGGAGGAGAGGACGGCGGGGGAGGGAGGAGGAGGAGGGAGGAGGAGGAGGAGAGGAGGAGGGAGGAGGAGGAGCAGGGAGGAGCAAGAGGAGGAGGAGAAGGAGGAGCAGGAGGAGGTGGAGGAGGAGAAGGAGGAGGAGGCGGAGGCGGAGGCGGAGGCGGAAGAGGAGGAAAAGAACGCCCCACGGGAGGAGCCGCCTCGGGGCCCGGCACAGCGGCGCGTGGCTGCGCGGGCGCCACTCTCCAGGCCGCCAGCCCCTCGATGTGCAATGCGCGGGAGATGACGAGTTCCTCGGCCTCCTCCGTGGCGCGCGGGCTGAGGGGAGGACGGGGGAGGATGGATGGAGGACGCGGAGGAGGGCAACGACGACGAGGAGCAGGACGGAGGCCAAGAGGACCGCGACGGCTAAGTAGGACGAGGAGGGCAATAAGGAGGAGGAGGAGGAGCAGGAGGAGGACGAGGAGGAGGAGGAGGACCAGTGCAAGCCCAAGACTCATCAACGATGTTGGACTAAACCATCCCTCCAAGCTCCCTTTTTCACAGGTCCCTACAAGGGTTCATTTCCACTCAAGGAATAGCCCCGTTGGGGGACAATCGTGTGAAAATCCTGAAGCGTGCCAATACACCATTCTCAGAACATTCAACGACACAAATTTACCTGACTGTTGCGTCTAGGCAGCACCGTTCCTGGGACTTCAACATAGCGAATCAAAGTAACCGCTGCGCTCTTACAATCCTCAAGCGCTCCAGAACACCATGTTTGGTATAATCCTGAGAAATGAAACTCTTGCAATTTTTAAAACGAGTGTGAGCGGCGCTGAGGCGAGAGCCACATTTTGAAAACCACCCGCCCTCCATCCGTGAAATTCTTGCAAAGTTGTACAACAAATGTGCGTGGCGCTACGGAGAGAGCCACATTTTAAAAGCCGCCCGCCCTCAATCAGTGCAACTCTTGCGAAATTTGACGCCGAATGTGGGCGGCGCGAAAGCAAGAACCACATGTTGAAAACCACCCACTCTCCATTTGTGAAGCTGTTGCCGGTCTTGAAGCTCCAGCCTCATATATACGGTAAGAAAATCTCAGGCGAAACGCCCGGCCCGCCCTTCCGACTGGCCCCGGAGCGCGACAGGGAGGAGCGATTCGCAAGGAGACGCAGTGGAGGCGGAGGCGGAGACGGAGGAAGAGGAGGAGGAGGAGGCGGAGGCAAGAGGAGGACTTGGCAGCCCTCGCTCGGCCCTTCCGCGCGCCCACCACCCGTCTGGCACGAAGAGCACGGGCCCTGGAGAAACACAGCATTCTGTATGTGCTTCGCTGCCTTCGGTAGGGGAACAAAAAGTGACATAAACACAAAAATTCGGAGGTCCGCGCGGATTTCTCGGAACGGCGCTGGAACCCCCTCCCTGGCGCGCAGAGCGCGCCAGGGGCGGCGCTGGAGGCGCCGCCGGGGGGCTCCAGCGCCGATCCGAGAAATCCGCGCGGACCTCCGAGTTTTTATGTTTGTGCCACTTTTTGTTCCCCTATTCGAGCCCCTGGGACAATCCGCGGGCCCCGTGCCGCGGCCAGATAACGGCGAGAGATCGGCCCAGGGCAGGCCCCGGAGTCCCAGGCCCGCTTCCTCTCGGAGGGGGAGACTAGGGCCTTCCCGCCCGCATGCCGGCTCATCCCGTGCCGCCTCGGCCAAGGGCAGTCGACGCAGGTTTTCGCCGCGCGCTCCGCGCAAACGTGCGCAAACATGCGCGGATGCTGGGGTCTACGCGTGAGAAGACAGTCGTCGGCTGGGGCCTTTGGCAGCGCGCAATGTGGGATAGAGCAAAGGGGGCGACCTTCAGAGAAAACGCGGGGCTTTTAAGAGGGATCGGAGACTTCTGAAAAGGCTTCTTGGAAGCCACGACGGACCACAAGCGGCCCCGACGAACTCACAGAAGGCAACGAATTGAAGGCAGAAGGCTCACTGAAGGCAAAGCAAAAGGCATGCCCTTAGTTGCTTACCTCGTCGGTCGTCGGTCGTCGGTCGTCAGTCTTCGGTCATCGTCGTCGTCGTCGTTGTCGTCGTCGTCGGTCGTCGTCGTCGTCGTCGTCCGTCGTCGTCGTCCGTCGTCGTCGTCGTCGTCGTCGTCGTCGTCGTCGTCGTCGTCGTCGTCGTCGTCGTCCGTCGTCGTCGTCGTCGTCCGTCGTCCGTCGTCCGTCCGTGTACGTCGTCGCGTCGTCGGTCGTCGTCGTCGTCGTCGTCGTCGTCGTCGTCGTCGTCGTCGTCGTCGTCGTCGTCGTCGTCCGTCGTCGTCCGTCGTCGTCGGTCGGCGTCGTCGTCGTCGTCGAAATCGTGTTTGCCCTCGGCGGGCTCTCTTTACCCCCCCCCCGAGGTGCACGCCGCCGAGGGACGCCCGCGGCGCTGCCTCGTCGATGTCGTGGTCGGTGACGCCCTCCGTGTCCTCCCGGAGCTTCGGCGAATCGTTGAACTCCTGCGTCGATCTGGAGCCGCCCCTGCTGACCTTCAGGCGCCCGTGAGCTCAGAGGGGGACAAGGTGCGGATGCCGCTGCTTGCCCTCGAGGCTCCTCGTCGCCACGGCGGGATTCTCCTCGGAATCCGGGCCAGAATGCACCCAGGGAGAGGGGCCAGCTTTGGCATCTCGGACCGACCTCTGGGCGTGTCGGGGCCTTCTTGGGCCGTCGTGACGGCCTCCTGGAACCCTCTTGGCCCGTCTTGGGGTCGTTTCGGGTCCGAAACAATCATGCGACAAGCCGCGGGGGAGACCAGAAGGCACGCCACAGGCCCCAGAGGGCACGCGACAAGCCCCGGCAGATTTGGGAATTTGGGGTCCTGGCCCCTCGAAGACTCCTCAGGAGTGAGGACTGAAGCTTCCGGTGCCCAGAAGCACGGTGGCGGCTTAGGATCTACCACCTCCCCTGTGGCCTGGGTGGTCGATCCACCCTGGGGACGTGCGGTTCACAAGCGGGTCTGCCCCATCGCTCGTTCTAACTCTGAACTCGTACCAAGCCCACCGCCCTCGTCAAGTAATACTACGCGCGCGTATGCAAAAACAAATGACGAAGTGCACCCCCACGCGCTGTCGCGCGCGCATGCCGGACTCGCTCGAAAACCAAGGGTTTCGCACGGATGTCAAGGTCCAACGTCCTGGAAACACGCAAAAACATGTATGACTTTGCAACATGATTTCTTCGATCCCAAAAACAATCTGCGCGCGCGCTCTTGCGAAACCTTGAAACAAACAATGGTTTTCGCAACGTTTACATCAATTTCGACCAAACGGGCCCCCCGCGCGCGCGCCGAAACCATTCGAACGCCCTTGCGCGCGCGCCGGGGTGGGAGGGGGCGCAACCCGTGTCAAACAACAACATGCGGGCCATTTGCGCCCGTTGGTCGCGCGCGCATGTCGGAAGCCTTCCAAAACGTTTATCACAGACACGAGGACACCCTCATCGTCATCGGCGTGGTCAGCATCGGCGCCGTCATTGGCCTTGCCGTCGTCATCGTCATTGTCGTCACCAACATCGCCACCATCATCATCGTGTCTGCCATTGTCGACGTCGCCGTGATACCGCGCCCGCCTGGGTCACCGACTCGCACTGGAGCGCCCGAGCGTCAGCGCGGCCTGCGGAAGGCGCTGGGGAGCCTCCAGCAGTCAGCGCCGACGCGGCTGCGTCGGTCGCGCCAGACCAGCCAGCCGCCGTGCGCGCGAGCCTTCGCTCGCTGGCGCGGCCGCAGCGATGCGCCAGCCAGCGCCAAGCAGTCATCGCAATCGCCGCCGCATGGGTGGTGCAAACCAGGCTGCGGGCGGGTGGGTGGGATGATTGCGCGAGCAGTGGAGTTGGCAACTCACTGCGAACAGAAGCTGAATTCTCCTTTCTAAAAAGAGAATAGACCCTACCCCCCCGGACTTAACGCTTCCCCGTGGGATAATATAATTTCATATATATATATATATATCATATATATATATATATATCTATGGTTTTTGGTAAGATATTATGAGAGAGAGAGCGTGATCCACCGCAGCTTTAC